AAATAATGCATATTACTTTCAACAATAAATGTTTTTATTTGCAATTGATTTTATTCAATTCAGGATCAAAATTGCATACTATACTGACTTATTTCTAAAAAATTTAAGATTTCCGAAATTCGCACATTTTTGAAGTAGTGAACCATAAACAGCTGCATGAAAAAGCTCATAACCTTGAAACAAATTGTCATATAAACTTGAAATCGGATTTAATTTAATTCTGCCCAATATTCTAATAAGTAATAACAATCTGCTTAGTAAATAATTAACGTGGGTAAAATGCGAGAAAATAACATGTAATGAAAATAGCAGTCTTCTGATCAAACATAAAAAAGTGAGCTAGTACAGTTACTAGTTTTCAATTATCAAATATCTAGCAAACTATTGTTGTCAACAATTACATAAATTCTGTAGTTTATTAGGAGAGATTAATTTTTCTTTTTGGTATGAATTCATAACTATTTCCTAGGCGAAGGCTGAGCAGTAACTTGCTAGTCACTTCCAATTCGCTGCTGCACATGTGCTATTTTAAGTCTAAGTCATCTCAGCAATATCAGGGAACTGTGAATAAGCTCTGTAAATATATATATATATATATATATAAACAAAACTCCTCTAGTGACACTCAATTTGTGCTTTTGTTTTCATACTTTGCAATCTGGCAATCTTGTTACGAAAATATTTTTTAAATCATTCTTGAAAAATTTCCCGTTCATGTAAGTACATTTGAATTCGCTGCTCGCTTTATAGATTTTGTCTTATTCTGTTTTTTCTTTTTATTTTCTGTTTTTACGTGTTATTTTTACTTATTGTGCTCATTTTATTTGTTGTAATTTTGGTAAAAAAATTTTTTGAGTGTTCCACACACTATTGTATTAATATATTTTGATTTGGCTATATTGATACAATATCAGAAAGCACTCTTTTTTGCGGATATAATCGTGTGGGCTGATGAAAAGATTATATCTTTTATTTTCCGGATTTTAATAAAAAAAAATTATCCTTTTTTTTTCTTTTCTTTTCCTAGTTGTTTTTATTATTATTATTATTATTATTATTTTCTCCCCCCCCCTTTTTTTTTCTTCATATGTCTGTATTTTGTCTGTATATGTCTGTATCTGTCCTAACATCCCGTTTTTTTTAAAGTTGTCCAAACATCCAGATTTTTCGTTATCCGGAGCGGTCTTAGTTTCGATTGGTCCAGATAATTATCTTTCTACTGTACTGTCTGATTTTAAAAAAATGTTTTTTTATTAGTGCTAACTGATATAAATATTTTGTTTAGCTGTCTATTTGTCTTGAAGATTGATTAGATACTAAGGAACACTTCAGGGAGTTAAAAGACCTTAAATGGATGAAACATTTTGTCGGCTTGAAATAATCAAATTTTATTAGCATTGTTCTTTTGCCATTTTTGTTTCTGCAGTGTTCCTGTATCAGATTTTCTCAAACGGCTTTGCACACACTTGGGACTGGTCACATAAAAAGTTTACCCTTCCACGGAACTGTGAAGACACATAAAAAGTTTACCCTTCCATGGAACTGCGAAGACACACACACAGCTGTATTTTTGAGGATTAAATGTCTAAATTTGCATATACCGGGTATGATTGTAATATTAAAAACGTGCATTTCGAACAGTAAATAACGAAAATTTACGGATAATTGATCCTCCAAGGGTTGAGTTCGTGCGTAAAATTATACGGGAAATTCACTGCTACGCACCACACTCTCGACATGGGAGAAACATGTTTTCTGATGCACGGAAGCTTGCACTAATGCACTAAAAGCCGGGACTAATGCTCAGAGGGTCAATTTTTTCGTAAAGTAGTTGAAATCTTGACAATGAACCACTTTGTAGCACTTAGTTTGGTTTTTTAAATTGCTGAACAATGTGACATATTTGTAGAAGTAAGAGTTTACGGTAACTTGCTGATAAATATGTGTTTTAGGGGTACGATCGTACTACATGAGAACCAAACTGGGCAAAAATATTCTCTTCTGAAAAATTCGCTGTTTAAAGAACCGTTCTTAATGCATATCATTAAGGCATCTCCAATGCCTTTGATAGAAAAAAAAGTCATTGATTGGAGAATTTTTCTCCAGATGAGCGTGTGAAGGCTTAGAAACTAGATGTAAAATAAACTGCTCGAGCGTTAGCGAATTACATTAACGTATGCGATAGGGCATTCAGTGAGAATGCTCCATTAAATCGCATGTATTGGAAATGACCCTAGGAATTCTCAACATATGAGCGATTGAGGATTCGCTGCAGGGATTCTCTGCTTGGGATTCTCTATATGCGATTGACAAATGCAATTGCATGTAAGTTTTGTGGTGAAATCTATTTTATTTTCTCATATTTCAACCACACTCTGTAAGAATGCTCCTATGTAGCTTCTAAATATTTACACACGCA